CACAATAAAAAACACAAGATGAAATTTTATTGAGTAAAATGGATGGCTCAAGTCTTTTACATTTTGAAAATTTACAATTGTTTAGAGGGCAACACTAATAAAGTGCACAATTAAATTCTATTTATGATAATTGTTATGATTTCTAGTGTTAATACTGTTTTTTTTAATCATCTGTGTTTTATTCATATTTTAACTCTTGTTATGTATATCTCTTAAATACCTAGAGTATATTATTGTTGCACCCTTTATCAAGAGGTCTTTCTTTTTTATGAGTTCATGACAACTTATTCAACATTAAGGAAAAAACTTAGTTAAAAATGTCAAAGATTGTAAAACTGATGAGGCTTGATCTCAATCATAATGCACTAACTGATTTAAAATGAATCAAATGGAAGCATTAGAACCACACACTTGAGAATTTTAATAAGGATTATGGAGAGAAGAGATCATTTTTACTTCATCCTTAATTTTTTATCATCCTGTTTATGATTACTGTTATGAAACCATAATAAATAAGTCTATATTAAATATTTTTGGCTTTCATCAAATATTAAGTCAAACATAATTCAAGATCTACAAAACAGATTTTATAACACATCAATTAAATATAATTAGAATAACTTAAGCTCATTTAACCGAGTTTTATAATGATGCGATTGGCGTAAATTATTTAGTTAAAATACATAGTTCTTAAGAATATAAAAGTTTTAGTACGGCTTACTCTCGGATAATACTCTATAAAAGAAAGTAGTCGTCGAGATTCTTTGGCCTTTTAATAGTTTGTCCTGTTCTTGAGGATATATTAGGTTGAGTGTCAGGAGTAGTAACCTTTTGAATAGATGTTTAGTTAGGTACTGTTGTAGTTGATTGATCATAAGAGAAGCTATTCTTTATTGGATTCCCAAACGGATGCAGTAGGTTCAAAACTACTTCGTTGGTATCGTTTAATTCAATTTGTTTTTTATTTCCAGAATAGTCGCTGTTACTCATGACAATTTCATCATTGTTTGAGCATTCGGACTGTTGTTGGACTGGTTCTATTAAGGGATTTCCATCTTGAAGTGGTGCAAGATCTTTTGTTGAGACCAGGGGTGTGGAGTCGTAAAAAAAAAGTAACGACTCCGACTCCGACTCCAGTTGTTGAAATTTTTTGAATACAACTCCGACTCTGACTCCTACTCCTACTCCAACTCCAAAGCAAATTTTTTAAACTCTTTGGAAAGTATTACGAGATGAGTTAAAAATTTCTTTTTTGACAAATTTATGAAACGTTCTTTGAGGTTTAGTATGAACATGAATGTTTTGTACATGCACGTGCAATACCGAGAAGTTTTACTATTGGAGTCGGAGTCGCAATTTTGTTTAGCAACTCCAACTCTGACTCCGCTGAAAATGTCGCAACTCCGCAACTCCAACTCCTACTCCGACTCCACAGCCCTGGTTGAGACTATATCAATTTTTCCATTTTGAAGTTTCACGCGTGCAAAGTGAGGCGAAATTGTTTCTAATAGTTGAACTCTGTCAACAAGTGGATCTCCTTTTAATTGTATCTGACATCTGTATAAAATTGTTAAATCCTGTTCTGTTAAAAAGTTTGGTAGAACCGTACCTATTATTGATGAACGTTGAAAGTTCATCATCCTCTGATGAGGTGTTTCGTTAGTAGCAGCACACAGAAATCTTCTTATAGAGAACAAAGCCATTTGTAATGCTACCTCCCACCTATCTTTTTCCAGACTCAATGTTTTCAGGGCCAGACTAACAGCTTTAAGTAATGTTCCATTCATTCTTTCACACTGAACATTGCCTTGTGGGTGATATGGAGTAGTTCGAGTTCGGATGACATCGTTTCTTTCTAGGAATTCTTTAAGTTTTATACTTTCAAACTGTGTTCCTTGATCTGTATGCATAGATGATGGTGCACCAAATAATGAAAAAAGACTGAGAAGGTGTTGTATCACAGTGTCGACTGTTATATCCTTACAAGGGAATGCAAATGGGTAGCCACAGTATTCGTCTACTACCACAAGGATGTATTTATTAGCTGAGGTGGCTTGTAAAGGTCCAACAAAGTCCATAGATAAACGTTCCCAAGGTCTCATTGCCTGAATAAGACTATCTGTTGGAGGTTTGTATAAGCGCGGTTTGAGTTCGCTACAGATTGTACATTGGCTTGTTAGTTGTTTAATTTTAGTGGTAGAGTAGGGTAGATTTCAGGTTTTGCAATAATGTATCATTTTTTTAACTCCAGGATGACAGTTTGGAATGAATATTGTAAAAGGTTTTATGGGTCTTTTAAACTGAGCAACTTCGAGAAAGGGTATCAGCTACGATATTTTGATTTCCTGGTCTGTATGAAATTGTACAATTAATATCTGCTAATTCTAAACCCCATCAAGTTAGTTTTTCGTTTTTAATTTTTGTTGAAATCTGTTTATTGAAAATAAGGGAAATGAATCGTTGGTCTGTAATTATGATATATGGTACTGAACTAATTAAGTGCTTCCATCTTCTACAGCATTCTACAATAGCAGCTGCTTCCTTCTTGACAATTGCGTGTCTTCTTTCAGCGTTTGTTAGTGTTCTTGAGAAGAAGGCCACAGGTCTGTCTAGTTGAAGTAACATTCCTCCCAGTGCTGTGTCAGAGGCATCAGTTTCAATAGCTAGTGAAACTTTGAAATTTGGGGAGGCTAGACAAGCTTCTGCAAGTTTAATTTTGAGCTTTTTAATTGCTTCTTTTGCCTTCAAGCACTTGGTTGCACTTCAAGCACAAGGTTCAAGCACTTGGTTGGAAAGTTGTCTCTTGCTTGAGTAAGCGGTAGAGTAAACTCGGTACAGTTTTGTATCCATTTAGCGTAGTAGGCAAATAAACCTATTATTCGGTTGAATTCTTTTAAGGTTTTTGGTTCTGGCATATTTATAAGAGCTTCATATCTTTTAGGGTCAGGTTTTTAAGGTTCCATTTTTAATGATATAGCCTTAAAATTCTATGCGAGTAATTATAATTCAAGATACTACATCATTTGATGATGCAATCAAAATTCTTGATAACAAATATCAAAAACGATCAACACCTATTATGATGCGCCACAAACTTCACTCTTTTAAGCAACAAGAGGAGAAACAGTTGAAAGCTTCATGAGCAGCCTGAAACAATATGCAAGAAAATGTCCAACAGAACCTCTAACAGCAGAACAACATATTAATTTACTAATTTTTCAATTTATTAATTTACTAATGCTTCATGAGCAGCCTGAAACAATATGCAAGAAAATGTCCAACAGAACCTCTAACAGCAGAACAACATATTAATTTACTAATTTGCTACGGTTTTGTTGCTGGAATTTACTCAACTTCTAATAGCCAACAACTGCTCGAAGTGACAGAAGACAATCTTGAGGCACTTTATAAAGTAGCGCTAACAATGGAATTAGCCACCGAAGATGCTCTTAATTTGACAACAACCACGACAGCTAACACTACGCTACCAACTTTTACCGCAAGTCGTAACATTACGAAATCTCATTGTTACTGGTGCGGTAATGAACCACAACAAAAAATTAAATGCCCAACGCGAAATTCCATCTCTACACATTGTCAAAGAAGGGGCCACTGGGCAACTGTCTGTCTCTAAGGAAACAAAATAAGACCTTCACTAAACCAGTTGTTAAAGAACATTAGGAAGAAAACAATAGCGCAATAGTATCTATGGTCATAGCAGCAATCAACTCACCTGATAGACTAACGTCACCATTAACACAAATATAACACAGGCACTGATAGATACTGGCTCTGATAAAACGTTTATTACATCAGAACTTCTTCAACATTGGAACCTTCCTTACGATACTCAACCTACCTCAAAAGTATCATTGGCAGATAATTCGACATTAAAAGTTAATGAAATCTTCCAAGGCTCATTGTTATTAGCTTGCAAAAAATTGAAAGTGCAATTCCTTATTGGAGACAACTTGGTAGCACCGGTAATTATTGGAATGGACATGTTAACACAACATTTACATTGAAAAGTGTGATTCCTATGGAAGTATTATTGAAACTTTAAAAAATTGTAAAGATGATCAAAACTTTATTGAAAGTGAAATACCAGTTATTATCAAATAGTATAATTGAGCCATAAATTGCGCAATGGTAAGCCTAAGTATTGATTGTAAAGGACCTAAGTAAATCAAACAAAAAAAGAATCCACATTGATTACTCTCAAACACTTTTACACCAAATTAGATGCATATCCTTTTCCCAGAATAGACAATATAACAAATGAACTTGCAAAATAAAAAGTATTCTCTACCTTTGACTTGAAAAATACTCAACACCACACTCCTATAAAAGATTTTACAAAAAGTATAGACATTTGAGGTTAACAGTAAATTATTTTAATTTTGCAAGATTCCATTTGAATAAATAATGGTGTGTTTATGTTCAAAAGATCTATGGACAAATTTGTTAAGAAAGAAAAGATACATGACACTTTTCTATACCTTATAACTAATAGTGACAATATAACCATTGGTGGGTATGATTGGGTACCATCATGATGAAAATTGCCTATGGTTTCAAAATTTTTCACAATGATGGGGCCTAATGTTAAATTATTACAAATTCGATTTCAATTAATCAGCGTTTAAACACTAAGAGTCAGTGGTGGAGATAGTGTTAGCAGAGATTAGTTATATGTATCATTCCGGAAGCAATAATATAGTTTCTGATGTACTTACACATGCTTTTTTTGCCAAAATAAGTTATTAAAAAATCTCCATCTACCTAATTAGATGTTACTTTGATCAACAATTTAATTAGTGGCATTTTTGGAATAGTTAATTACACATTTAGTGTAATTATGTAGTTATAAAAACTTTTAAAAAACTTAATTTGTCATGTAATATTTATCATATCTTACTTAATAAAGTTAATGGCTAATCTTTATTAAACATATTTGAACTCTTTAGATACAAATTTCACATATAAATACAGAAACATACCAGCAACTGAGCTACTTTCATTAATGAGTTGTTCTTGTATTAAATGAACTTGATCAGACCACCGAGTTTCGTAAACTTTTTTTTGTGAGCCATCATCAATTGGTGATTCACTTATAGTTTTACGTTTCATTATAATCTAGAGTAAAATAAAAATTGCATTATAAACTAAATTACAAACAATACATACACTCAGCAACCAAAAAAAAAGAAGAAAACTTTAGCTATTTAAATCTTCAAATATCAGGGCCAACAGCAAGGGTTTCGCGGTCAAGGGGCATAACCATCAATATCTAAAAAAAGTCCTCTACATTTAGAAAAATTAAAAAAAAATCCTCTATCATCACTAAACTATTTCAATCAGTTCAATCAAAGTAAATTTGTGTTCAATTTCATCCAATTTTTTGTTCAATCAAAATAAATTTTAAATCTTCAATGCAAAAATCATCAAACCTACTTGCTCTTGGTAGGACTAATTTGAATTAAATTATTTCACTTTTGGACCTCAGTGTTATTGTTATTATTCTTATTATTCACAAATAACAATAGTCAAATTCTTGGTCTAGGCATATACTTACGTATCAGTTGTGTTACTTGTTGTAAAATCAGGTTTCAATCTTCTTAGCACTGTTTAGCTTGACTATCATTTTATATGCTGTTTTTTTCATTCTTGCCAAGACTGCAATCATTTTAATGTTGATAAAATGAGCCGTTTACAACAACCTTTCTATATACTAATTCTTTCTATTGTTGCTATTGGTATTCCAAGAACTTACCTTCACCCTTTTATTTGTTTCTTGTCTATGAACCTAGTTTATGTTTAATTTCTCCTTGTTCCAATTTAGGGGTACAGATCACCCTATGATTCATTATTTTTAAACTAATAATTCTCATATTTTATCTTAAAAGTAAGGTTCTGAAGGCTTTCAGAAAATCGTTAATAGTGTCATTAAAACTAACAAGTCTAATATTTAATCAAGTGACCACACTCTTACTGTCGTCTTAAGAGAATTAACTTAATCCTTTGTTATATTTCCAAATTACACCTAATTTTGTTGTCATCTTAAGTCTAACAATTTTTAAACAATCAAAATAGATTTTAATCCATTATAATTGAAAGGTTCTATTGTGAATTAAATGGAAGCAGTAAGGTAACAGATATTGCTCAAGGCATATCAAAGACTTTTCACTATATATGGTATGCTGGTCTTCTTCATCGGTTTGCTTTATTTGATGTATTTAGGAAAGTTTTTAAAATAAAGAAATCAAACTTTTTTAAACTGCCAAGATGTTCTTGGTGGATCACAATCTCTTTCATTTTTAGTATTTTCTGAAGTATCACAAAGTTTCATCCACTAAACTCCAGTATTGTTTTTGTATTGTTTGTCAAAATTAATAATTTTTCTAATTTTTCTTTTTTGTTTTGAAGTGGCTATATTAGCTGATAATTAAGATTTGCACAAATATATACTTCATTTTTGACAAAAAATAAAAACTTTTTGATTCTTTAAAACAGGCATCTTGAGTATGGTTTTACATACTCAAAACAAACAGGCATCTTGAGTATGATTCTTTAAAACAGGTATCTTGAGTATTACACTTAACAAAACTCAGTTGTTTTCTGCTAATAATTATTGCAATATTGTTGATATTCCTATATTGATAAAAAAACATCACTCTGAGTCCCATACTTTTTAGATTATCTTTCATCCTTGTATGAAACATTCTTGATATATTTGAACTGGTTTTTCTCCGTTTCCCACTTTTTATACAACAAGGTCTAAAATAGCATTTTATTTAATGTTTTTGGACTTACTCAAGCTGTCAAGCTTGAGCCTCTAAAACAAGAAATCATAGTTCAAGCAATCTATCATCACTTGTTTCATCATTTTTAAAATATCTGTCACACATAAGTCATTATTCCTTAATGCTCAAACGCCTTTATAGTTTAGTATATTTTCATATTTCTTTCTCAGTGCTCTGGAATTCTCAAGAGACTCAGTGCTCAGGAGTTCTCTTGAAACTCAATGATGTGAATTTCTCTTAAAACTCAGTGCTCTGAAATTCTTATTTTTATGTTTTCTTGATTACATTAACATTTTAATTTTACTGTTAACTAGTTTTTTGCTATTAAACTCTTGTACTTGTTTTCTGGTAACTCTTAACTTAAATACTGATTGCTTGCAGCTTAGTCATAAACTTATTTGCAAAAAAATCGAGTCAAAAATTAACAGGAGCTTTGATCCTTTAACTCTGCCAACAACAAATATATGAAGCTAATCAAGGTTTTCGTCAAACTACTTAAATTACTAAATATTTACTAAACAATTTAGTATGATTGTTATCAAAAAAAATATTTAATGACTTTTTTATTATAATTATATTTAAAAATGCAAGTATAAAATAAACTATATTGAAACTGTTTTTATTTTTTTAAATTTTAATATTTTTATTTTTTATAAGCTAGTTTATAGATTTGTTTATAGTTTAACTAGCATTAAGTTATTTTATTACTTTAAAAACAATCCACGTGAGTTACATTAAAGTACAAGTAGCATTCGGACGGCTTAGGACAACAATAAAGTTGGTTATTGTTGTAGAAATTAAGGACCAGCGAAGATTTTAACTTAAAGAAGAATTTATTTCATAATATGAATCATAATATGAATCGCTAACTTGAAAAAGGGGACATGTCCTGTAAAATTCACATAACATTTCCCCCTTTTCAAATTAGCAGTTCATATAATTTTTCGCATATTATGCAACGCTCAGTGACGTTGCTAGGGTTTCAGGCGTCCAGGGCAATAATGAAAATTAGCGCCCCTGAAGCAGACAAAATAAACACTAAATGTTTCGTATATGGCAATTTTATTTTAAAAAATGCAAATGCTAATCATAATGCAAACTCAATTTAACTCATGTTTCCAATTACGTATCCATTATTGTTCATGTGAATTAGTCATTAAAAGTGACAGATGGTCAATTAGATCCAATAATCAATAACTATTTATAAATTATAATTTCATCTTTCTAACTTTAACTGCATCAAATTTATCTATTATGTTGTCAAAGTCTGTTGATTCTAGAGTTTATCTTTCGACACTAAGAATTGCCGAATCAACAAGACCTTGTTTCCCCATTGAAGCTTGTAGATATGAAAAAATAAGCTTTAGAAAGATTAAGTCAATGAAAAGTAATCCTTCTCATTGAATGGCTGCTTGACACTGATGAACCATCGATGAACCAGTTCAGCTCCACTTCCTTAGAAAAAGAAATGTAAATGAAAACGATTATACCGATGTCTGCAAAAAAAAATATTTACATATAGGAAGATGTGGGAAAAAAAGTCCAATTGAAAATAATATTAGTTTTTACATTAAACTGTTCGCCTAAATAGAACTACAAATCTTTACAGAAAGTCAGAAAACGCAAAATATAATCAAATCAAATCAAATCAAATATATTCTGAATAATAATAATAAAAAAAAGGTCCTCTAAAATTTTTTTGGGCCCCTAAATTTGCGGGGCCTAAGGCTTTAGCCCCCTAGCCCTCCCCCTTGATCCGGCACTGCTGATGGGATATGGAAATATAACGTAATTTCATAGTTACACAGATTAAGACAGTAAAAAGCAAATGCTTTAAAAAAATAACTGAAAAACCTGAAAATTACCTCGCTCCAGTTTATAAAGTAAAGAATGAGGGGGAGGAGGTTGATTTGGTTGATCCAAACTATCTAATAAATTTACTAAATATTTTGTACCGACCATACCACGCCATATCTCTTCATTCTTTCCTAAACTGTCTGGAAGCGCCGAATCAAAAAAGTTAAAAGTTGCCCCCCTCCTTGACTAGACGGTCTGGATCCACCCCTGGTTCAACCATCTTTTTTTGAAAAGCAGTTTGTACTAAATGAAATAGGTAGAAGTTCAGTCAAACTACTATAAAAATTTACTATATATATATATATATAATATACTATATAACTACTATAAAAATTTGAACTATCCTTAAAACACCTGACCAGTTTACTTACTACATTATTTTGACGAATAACATAAATGATCCGCCCCGCCGTTTGTACTAATTAAATAATCCGCCCCGCCGATTGGACCAATAAGCACGATCAAAAGAAGCTTGCAAGATTACAAACAAATCATGATGAGCATGATAAACACAAGCATATCATGATGACGGGACAGAGTATCAAATTCCATTTACAGTTTCCACATTTTATTTTTTTCATTTAATTTTTGAAACAAATTAAAAGCTTATTCTCACGGACAAATACAGTCTAAAACTTAATATTTTTTAAATATAGCTTAAGTATGCTAACACTGTTAATAGCAGTATTATGAAAGAATGAATTCTAATATGAATAGAAGTTTGGTATGCAAAATATTTGTAATATCATAATAATATTTATATTTATTTCGTTAAAATATAAATTTAATAGTTTTTAATAGTAAAATACAAAAGTTGTAGTCTTTAAAACAAATAGTTTTTAATTAGGAAAATACTTCGGTCAAATGTTTGACTAAGAATTGTGATTTTTATGGACGTCCAGAAAACAATTGTTTTTGCTCAATTTGCTTCAACAGTTTACCAAAAGGTATTGTTTAAGTTATACAATTACTTTTATTGTAATGCTTAATAATAACTCATAATAAATATATTGTAAATTAAATGTGGAAAAAAACAGTATTTGTTGAATAAATACTATTTTAGCTATGAAGTATTCCAAGATACTAGTATTTCTTGACAAAAACCTATCTTGCAATTATCAAATGATTCAATTAAATAAAAAACTCTCTCAAGCTAATAGTATGTTATCTTTAATATGATACTATGTTCCTAAACATACTCTAGTATCAATTTACTATTGCATGTTCTCATTCTATCTAAGTTATTGTTTCGTTGTTTGGGGGCAACAAAGTTTTCTATTAAATTGTATAAACAGTTTGCAACGTGCTTCCTTAAGAATTATGAAATTTTCTCCTATTCAATCTAATATCCCAAAAAGGTTTTCTGAATTAAAAATCTTACAATTTCAAGATCTTATAAAGCTTTACAACTCTCTTTTTGTGTTTGATTTCCTTCAAAATAATCTGCCGGGTTCGTTTAACAATTTTTTCATTAAAGCAAGTGATACACATAAATACTATACTCGTATTTCTATAAATGGTAAATTGCACCCTTCTTTTTACAATACTGTCAAGTATGGCAAGCTTTATATCCATAAAACATCAATGTATTTCTCACTGGAACCAATTAATACCTTTTATAAAAAAAAAGATTTCAACTAAATACCCTTTTGTTACTAACTTTCTTCTTCTCAATAGAAACCTAATTAAGAAATTTTTATGTGAGCAAATATCTAAAGAATATTAATGCTATCTTTTATTCCTTTAATATATTATTTAATTAATTACACTTATTTTTATTTATTTTTTGTTGTTATTATTATTCTTTACATTGTTACTACTACTATTTTTATTATTGTTATTACTTTTAACTTTCTTTTGCTTTTTTTTTTTTTTTTTTTTAAATCTTTTTTATTGTTATTATTGCTTATCCTTCTTTCCTTTTTTTTTTCCTTTTTTTTTAGGTGTCACTCAATTGACTATTTTTCAACTATATGAGTGACACCTAACCTTATTTATGTAAATTTATAATTTATCATTGTAAATTTTCATTATTTATGGTTAAAAAAAAAAAAGATACACAAAGGTGAAAATTGATTATATAATAATTTCTATATGTAAATTCTAAGTACCAAATCTGCAAGGAAACATAAATAAATAGTTTTTTTAAATTGAGGAGATGCTGTAATTGCCATTTCTTCATGGACTTTTTCAAAAAACACTCTATTTTCTATATAAATTGATCTTGAAGTTTTTAAACACTGAGAACTAAAATATTATGCATGAATGTTAGAAAAAATCCACATTAGATTCTTCGTCCCTCTTTGAATATATCTATACAGAGGCTAATATAGACCTTTTCTGATAGCGTTGAATGTTTTTGGGCGTCGGTTTGGGCGCCGCCTGAATAAAAAATTGAGGACCTTTTCTTTTTTTTAGGTTTTTTACCTTTTTTACGACAAATATTGTATTTTTCATGAAAAAAAATCTGAATATCCGCTAAAGTTTGCCGGAATAAGAGGTTACCGCCACCCAAATTCTTTTCCTAAAATAGGCCCTGATATATATATATATATATATATATATACATATATATATAGATATATATATATATATATATATATATATATATATATATATATATATATATATATATATATATATATATGTATATATATATATATATATATATATATATATATATATATATATATATATATATATATATATATATATATATATTTATATATTAGGGTGTCCCAAAAAACAACATTTTTGAAAATAATCTGCTCTCACCCCCTAAATGTGTTCTATCTAATACAAAAACACTAGGTTTAAATTTTTTTTTGAATAAAAAATATTTTAAGGGGTCCCTCAAGACCCTCGAATATTTAATGGGTCCCTAATATTTTCGAAAAAAAAGTTTTTCAAAAATATGTCAACCTGAAACTCAAACGAAGCGAAATAATATAAATATTTCAAAAATAATATTCATTTCATAATATTTTTAACTTATTTATCAAAGTTATCATAAAAAAACATTAAAAATGCATTTTTTTTCATTTTTTCTTAAAAAACGCAATTTTTTATGTTATAAAACCAAAAATAACAATTTTGTTTCGAAATGAATATTATTTTTAAAATTTTTATATAATTTTGCTTCATTTGAGTACCAGGTTGACATATTTTTAAAAAACTTTTTTTTCGAAAATATTAAGGACCCATTAAATATTCAAGGGTCTTGAGAGACCCTTTAAAATATTTTTTATTTAAAAAAAATTTAAACCTAGTGTTTTTGCATTAGATAGATTACATTTAGGGGGTGAGAGCAGATTATTTTCAAAAATGTTGTTTTATGGGACACCCTAATATATATATATATATATATATATATATATATATATATATATATATATATATATATATATATATATATCAGGCTTTCACAGGAAGACGTGCAATTTCATGTCTTTATATGACCACGCAAAAAAAAATGTTTTAACGATTTGACCACGGCATATTTTTAAAATTTAAAAATGCGCTATGAAAACTTACCTAAACTTATCTGAAAAAAAAATTTAAAAATAATAATAAGTATTAACAAAAAAGAAAATAAAAAAAAAACTTAGTTAAAGCAAAAACACAAAAAAATAAATATAAATATATAACGCAACTAAAACAAAACTCATCAAACTAAAATGCTTAGTCTATTTAATTTACGTGTTAAAAAACCTTTTCAATCTTTGTTTCAACTTTTTTTATATTTTTTATTTGTTTAATATGTTCAAAAGTTGAATATTTCTCATAAAAAATACATAGTTATATAAATAAAATAAAAAAACATTTTATAAATACTTTTTTTTAAATTAATTAGAAGTGTTTTTTTTTTACTTCATTAAAAGCGTTTCGATAATATAAAAGCATTTAAGATCAAACTTATTAAATTGTAACGGTTTTCTAAAACTTTTTTTTTTAACAAAATTTTGTTTATCTTTTTAAATGCATTAACTTGAATCATTCTTATATTTAAATTCGTTAAAGAGACTTTCGTAGTCGTAGAATGTAATCGTTTATAAAAACAAAACAATTTTTTATTTTTTAATAAGATTTATTTTAGAAATGAACACTTAAACAATTTATATGTTTTAAATTAAAAATATATATACAATTGTCAATAATATTTAAAAAACAAAACTTTTTTTCAGTAAATTGTTACTTTATTTAAAATCGTTTCGCTAATATTAAAACATTTGTTAAGAAGTTTTGATGTAATTATTTTTTTTTTTTTAGAATATTTTTTATTTAGCGCGTTTCTAAAATGTTTTTTGAATTAGCCGCGGTCAAATCGTCATAGTAAAATGTAACTTGCGTGGTCATATAAAGACATGAAATCGCACTTCTTCCTGTGAAAGCCCGTATATGTATATATATATGTATATATATATATATATATATATATATATATATATATATATATATATATATATATATATATATATATATATATATATATATTAGGGTGGGTCATAAAATTTTTTTTTCTTGTTACAGGCTCTAAACATTGCTAGAAAGTTGTTTTTTTATGTACTAATTTAGGAAAGTATTTACTTTTATGGATTGAACAATGTCTTCCACCTGCAACTATAATTACAAAAATTAGCAGGCCCTATTATTATTGAAAAAAAAAGTTTTTCAAAATTATGTGATGTAGGTACTCAAATAAAGCGAAATTTTATAAAAATTTCAAAAACAATTTTTTCATATAAAAATTATTACTTTGGATTTTATTGCATAATAGCTATAGTTTTTTAACTAAAAGTAAAAAAGGTGCATTTTTACATGTTTTTTAATAACAATTTTTTTCAGCAATATGATTTTTATAAAACGATTATTATTTTCGAATTTTTTATAAAATTTCACTTCTTTTGAGTACCAGTTTGACCTACTTTTAAAAAACTTTTTTTCTCCAAAATATTAGGGTACCGGTAATTTTCCCAATAAAGTTGCGCCCTTTAAATCTATCACAATCATTCTCATATTTGATAGTAACAAAGAAAAAAATTAAAATTTTGACCATCCAAAAGTAGACCGTAGGCCAAAGCATAAAAAGATGTGTTAAAATCAATTTTCGTGGTGCAGTCATGAGCTCTAAAAAATTTTGATGCAAATGAGCGTTTTAAGGTGTTAAGATTATAAACTATAAATTTCTCAGTTCAAAAATCCGCAGTTTTTTCTATGTCAAGCTTAGAAAAACCATCAAAACGATTTATCGATTTTTGTCGATTTTAGCTGTTTTTTTTTTTTTTTCTGAGTGTAATTGGATTAGCAATTTTGATTGGTTAAAAAATACATATATTATTAAAGAAAAGTTTCGCACTAACGTGTTATTATAGTGTAAAAATAGCGATTTTATCGATTCATAACCGATTTAGACAGTTGAACAATATTTTAAAATTTTATTCTTTTCAAAAAAGCCTTTTAAAATATACGTAAATACAACAATTAAGAATTATTACTTAAAAGTTATAAATTATAATCTATAAAAGATCATAATCTATAAAATCTATAAAAGATCATAATCATAATCATAATTATAAAAGAATTATAATCTATAATAGATCATCTTCTAAAAATTCATCTTCGTACTCATCGTAATCTTCAACACCATTATCATAAACATCTTCATCGTCAGCAGAAGCAGTGTTATCACACTTTGAGCAGTTATATAGTTCTGAACACTTTAAAGCCGATTTTAGACAAGAACAGCGTTTAGTATCACAACCTGTCGTACAGTTACATTTTACAAAGTTCAGGATACTGTCTGGTGCTACTGGATTCATTAGCCATTTAATGGCGATTCCTGATTCACTAACCATCCAGCCATGGTTTTGGAAATTGTCTAAATTACGAATAGGCTTAGTTGCATTTCGCCATATATATGATTGATAGTTAACTCGTTTTGACATCT